CTGAAATTTTGGATATTTTGAGACTGCTATCCAATATCCAATCCTCTAGACAACAGTCGATCCGATGTCAACAATACGTACCATCAAAAGATGAGAAAGAATTCGGGTCGGGTATATACTTACTGTTAACGTCGGATTACCCTCAAAATATCCTAAATTTCAGATATCACTCTCACCCAAATAAGCGTATTGTAGAAAGTTAGTGTCGATCAAAAAATTGGTTCAAAATCGGATTTCATGAGTAATGTTTCAAAATCCACAAAAAGACACGTGAAATCAGAGAAAATTTGAATTGTTTCACTAGGTACAGAATCGGTTTGCCTACCGATTTTGTGCCTCGTGGCACAATTCAAATGATACTTGAATTTGGCGTGACCACTTTTTCCTTTAAAAAAGTACAAAATCGGGAGACAAACCGATTCTGTACCTGTAGAAGAAAAGAAGGTACAGAGCATCAAGAAGTTCAAAATGCAGGAAGATTGGTTGTCACCCGGATTTGAGCAAACTACTACCACTGTCCCCAATTGTCCACACTGTCCAATTTTAATTTGTCCACCTTTTTTTGTTCAAGATCATTTTCAGATCCATCAAATAAACATTTTCTATAACTTTGACTAATTTCTGGAATATTCATAATTTTTGTACAGAAAATGCAGACATCTGGTGAAACTGAAATAAATGCTACATGGTACATGAAATCATCAATTCGAGCTGTTTCTATACATGCGAAAAAAATTCTTCAAATTTCAACCGTCTTATATCAACAAAACTACAAATTGTATCAATTATTTGTGAAACAGGTACTTTTTAAAAAAAAAAAAAACGATCTGGGAAGATTTTTCCCAAAAGTACTATTTTTACTGGTGAGTTGGACATGCCTCACAACCGTTTTCCTGAAATTTGGGATCTCGAAATATTTCGAGCTAAAAAAAAACGAAATATCGGAATCTTGAATTTTCTGAATTTTCAAAACTTGAAATTTCTGAATCTCGGAACATTCCGAATTGTCGAAAACCGAAATTTTCGGAATTTTGATTTCTGTTTCACGCACCTTGATCGTTTGAATGATGAATAATCGAGAAATCAATCAAACTGAAAAATGTATTAATCAATTGGGAAACAGTGATTTAAAAAAAAAAAAAAACTGAACCTCGAAAGATTTTTCATAAAAGTACTATTTTTAATGGTGACTTGGACTGCCTAGTATTAATAATCTTTCAGCTTTAATATTTAGTAGAGAAAAGTTTCTGAAACCGTAATTTCCTTTCAAATATTTTCAAAAGTTTAATAAGGAGTGAACATTGGATTTTTCTGGGCGTCAAGAGGTCTCTTAAGCTGATTTTGTAAACGGATTTATCATAACGACTTAAAGTGTTCCATTGTTAGTATAACAGCATTGACAGAGATAAACAGTTCAAAAATTAGGAGCAAATTTGAAACAGCAATTTTTTAAACAAAAAATTACTGTTTCAAAAAGTGTTTAGTTTTGGAAAGAAGGAATGAGTTGTGCCTCGCATGATTAGAACATCAAATTACATTGAAAAATCAAATTTAAAACTTGGAAAATCTTGTGATGTGATAAAATTATCTAAAATGAAGAAGTAATTAATATCATGTAATTAATATCAATTAATATAAATTAATTTTATAATTTAAAACGTTCTTCCCCATTTTTTTCATTTTCAGAAAGAAAGAATTTAGAACTTTACGAGGTTTTAGCTAGCTCGGTTTCCCTATAAAAAAAATAATAAATAGTTTTAGCCAGTTTTTGAATTATTAAAAAACACTAAAAACAAATTTTCTGTTTCAAATTTTCTAAAGAGTATTCACTATTTCCAAACAATTGATTAAACGATTTTTCAAATTTCAGCCAACTTTGAAATTTCTTTCCGTACTCTAGAAATTTTTAAAAGGAATTTTTGAAAGCAAAAATATGAAATCATAAAAATTCTTCATTTGAAAATTTTTTCAGAACTTTCTATATATAAAAAGCACTTTAGGATTTTAGGATTCCAAAAGAACCAATATTCTAGAAATGTTCGAAAACCTATTTTTAATATTTTTAAACGATAAAATATTATTAAATCAATTTTTGACTTTCTCAAAATTAAAAATCCATTTTGTGTCCATTTTTCAATGTGCTATCAGGATACAGGCCCAATTAAAATTGATAGTTTAAAAATTTTCAAAAAAAAATTGGAAATTTGAAACAGTAAATTATTTTTCCATCGTTTTTTAATTTTCTGAAAAATCAAAAATCTCCTTTCTAATTCGCCAGACAACTTCAGTTTTGACGGGAAATTGACCAATGTTTGCCATTTCCAGCCCTTTTTTCAATCGATAGAATATTCTAATCAAAGGATCAGCTCTAATTTCATCAACCACCAGAACTGCAAATTTTTGAAACAGTAATTTTTAGTTTACCCATAATTTGCTCCTATCATTATATAGTTTGTGTATTGCGTCAGCTTTTTTTCCTGAAAATCAAAGATCGAAATGTTTTCCTTCCGTCAACTGTCAAGTACACATAGTTTGTGGCAATCAGGCAAATAGAAGAATTTGCTTCAAGAGGCGAAGGGTTTTTCTTGACAAAAAAGAGCAGTGGACATACTTGAAAAAGGAATGGAACAAGAGAAAAGAGATGAGAAGATCATCCAGTTGTAATAGAAGAGCTAAACTGTAATTTGAATTTCTGAAATTATAAACAAAAAACTATAAGATTCAGTCAAAAGTTTCACCATTAAAATTTTCTGTTTCTGTAAATCTTTTTTTCCGTAAAAATGTTGAAACAGAAGAAAGTTCTAGTTATTCTTTCAAAGAGAAGAAAGTAGAATTGCAAATGTTCAAAAAAACTGTTTCAAAATATAAATTTAAGAAAAAGGAACAAGAGGAAAACACTGAAATTTTCACCAGCTTTTCGAAAATGTCTGTTTCATCAAACATATTTTTAAATCCAACACTCATTTGATTAATTTCATAGCAAACTGATCATTTTAATTTGAATAATTTAGAAGAAAATAAAATGTGACCATGAAATCATATTTGTTGTGTAAACCCATTCTAGGAAAACTAACATTAAATTTGGAACTTAAATCATATTACCGTATTGCCTACAGTTAGCTCACCGAAACCATCTACTTTGAGATCAATTATCTCATTTTCTTTGAGAGATATCAAAAATTTGTCAACTGATAGATTACTTATCTTAATATCACCAATATTTTATCAGCTGACAGACTCTTGATATCTGCCATAGGAACCGAGATAATTGAGCTCCGTGGAGAGCTTCGATTGGAACAAATACGATACATTTCCGTTTCAAAAAACATATTTCATTAATATAAACTACAATATTTTAATATGAGATGGCTGAATTTATTTAAAAAGAAAGAAATATGACCAGGAACTCAAAGCGGGTTGCACACATTGAATATACATAACTTGAATCCAATTATACGGTTTTCCGAAACAGTAAAAATAAAGTTTGCAATTTTCGAAACAAAATTGTTCTTACTGGTCTTCCGTTTGTCCGTTAAAGGAGGCCAGACACGAAAGTCTACGGGATTTTCATGGGGCGAGACCATGCATTCGGACGGAAAGTCGTGCGATTGCGACCAATGCGCGCTACTTGACGCGCATATATTTTTTTTAGTACACACCAGATTTCTTCAATATTAGGCGATAATTCCAGACTTTTTATCGATACCCTGTCATTCCATGATGTCGCCGCAAGAAAACAGAAAAAAAAAAAACGAAAATGGACAGGTGGGAATCGAACCCGCGATGCGCGAGCGACAAACAAGCGCGTTCACCTCTAGACCACGCGGCGCCTGGCGTCTACTGCCGCTAAAACGGTTATGAAACGAGGAGTGTGCCGCCGCTTGGAAGAACGTTCGCGTTCTCGTTTGTACGGCAACATGGAGTTATGGTTGGGTGACCATACATATTTTCTGACTGTACTGTGTCATATATCAAAAAACTAGAACTTTGAAATTTTTCATGTCTGGCCTCCTTTAATGCATTCTTTGACTATGTTCTGTTTCGAAGAGAATAGGAATTCTATGGGGTTTTGGAAGTGTGCTGATCTAATCACTCATATTTCAAAAATACACTCATCGTACAGTATGTATCTTTTAGTATGTGAAAAGCGAAAAATTCATAGAAAATTATTGAAATTTTGTTCTAAGAAGTTGATATTCTGGGCCAAATATGAGATGTTCCGGTTTCTTCATTATTTTTTGAGGACCAGTCTTCAATTGATCGCTTGAATAATATAATTTCATATTATATGGTTTTCCAAAACAGTAAACATTAAATTTGCATTTCGAGAAAACATTTCGGCTGTTTCAAAAAATACGTAAAGTTTATCTGATGTGCAAGCAACTTATTGGTCGACTGTCCTTTCGATTTACAATTATCTTTTCAGTTTCACAGAGGATATGAATTACATGGGGGTTATGAGGGGTGCTGTGTTATTTTTTTTTGTTGGTGCAAATATAGAATCATCAAATGCGGGGCATTATTTTCTAGGAAATTCTTATTCGGATATTTCAATGTACTTCTAGACATGTGATCCAAAAAAAAAATCAACGATTCAATAAATTACTGTTTCAAAACGAACATATTTAGTCAATGAGACATTTGTTCGATTATTATCGTTGTTTTATGTTTCTTATACTTCAAATTTTCGAAAAACAGTAATTTTCAATTACAAGTCAGCCAGAATGACCCTCTTAACTTATAAACTTGAGCTCAGCCATCTCATTTTTTCTGAAAGATATCAAAAGTTTGTGGGCTTCTATTGGAGAAAATACAGTACATGGCCGTTTCAAAAAAAATATTTCGTTAGTATGAACTACAACATTTCAATAAGAGGTGGCCTTGTTATATAGAAGACAGAAATATGACAGGTCGGGATTAAAACCTTGAATATATAACTTGAACCATATCATACGATTCCCAAAACAGTAAAAATTAAGTTAGTGATTTTCGAACAAATTTTCAATGTTTCAAAAAATCCTGAAGTTTTTTAAGTGCACAATAAACCTATTAGTCGGTAGCTTCTCAGAATTTTAAAATATACGAAAATTAGGCATTCAAGTTTACTTTAAGTCTTTTTTTGGTGAAAATGTTCAAAAAAAAAGATTTCTTGTTTAGAGAAAAATTATAACTGTATGCAAGTACTTACAAATGTTAATATTCATATATAACTTGAACCAACTTATACGTTTTCCGAAACAGTAACAAACGAAACTTGTACTTTTCGAATAAAAATTCGATGTTTCAAAAAATCCTAAAATTTGTTAAGTGCGCAAGAAACTTGCTGGTCTTCCGACTTTCGGTGTTTTTTCTAAAAAAAACTTTTTCTGTTTCGCAGTGAATATGAAATTCTATGGGGTTCATGAGTGGTGCTAGTTTCGACCGAAGGAGTACGATAATTTAGACCGAAAGAGATGACTGAAAGTCATTGTACACTGTCACGTCAAAGAAGTATACCGGAACTTCCGAAAATGCCCAAAAATCTCCTGCCCCTTCAAGAGGCGCGGTTTTAAAGGGGGACTTCGACCAAACATTTTTATTGCCTTGAAATGTTTCAAAAAATATGTATTTTTCTAATATTATTGCGAAAAAATTCAAAAAAAATCCTAAATGCCCGAAAAACTGCGTTGAAAAGAAAATATGATTTGAATTGCCTGTCAAATGGCTTTAAATGCCTTAAAAATAACTTAAAGTGAATGAAAAATGGCTTAAAATGCCTAAAAATAAACCCTAAATTTCTGAAAATGCCTGAAAATTGCCTGAAAATGGCTCAAAAATGCTAAAAAATTGATAAAATGTTGAAAATGAAGTCAACATTTGCTGAAAATGGCTTGGCTTAAAAATGGCTTAAAATCCCTGAAAAATGGCCTAAAATGCCCGGAAAATAACTTTGCAATACCTGGAAAATGTGCTTTAAATGCCTGAAAAATGGC